ACCTTGTATCCAGATGGTGGGTAATAAACCGATATGTCTATACGTATGAGTACAGTCGTTCATGTACATACACAAGTCACCACATACTATGTGGCTGGGCATGAAGACACAGGTAACGGGTAGGGTGTCGTAGTTGCCGATCTGTTCTGTGAACTGCTGCTGCCGTATCCTTGACAACGGAGACAGCACCTCAACCTGTTTGGAGGATAGGGCATCGGCCCCGGCACTACTGTACACCTGCAGGTCACAAGTGGTGAGTGAAAGGAAAGGCTTCAGCCAACCCTGAGAGTGTTGGGTGTATATGCAAGACGGGTTGTGAAACCTAAACCCTAAATTATAAACTTGGGATTATAAGACCTAGTAGCTTCTCAACCCCTAAATCCTAGAACACTAAAACCTAAACCATAAATCTAGATCGTAAACCCTAGAAGTTTCTAAACCACTAAAACCTAAAACCTAACCCCGAAAACCTTCCCCCCCAAAACAATACAATACTCTACAACCTAAAACCATGTCACCATCAAACCTTTAAATATTAAATCTTAAAATATAGAACCCTAAAAATTAAAAACAATAAAACATCCAAACTATAAAAACTTAAAACCTTAAAAATCCTAAAACATTAAACCCCTAAAACCTTGGAACCTTAGAACCCTAATACCTTATCATCCAAAAAAACCAGCAAATATATACAATGACGAGCCATAAAAAGGGTCCCAGAGTGTACGATGATGACTCGCAGACATAAGACAGTTGGTGACTGCATGTTTAGGGTTTAGGGTTCAGTACTTGTACCACTGTTTCACGGGCAACAGAGGTTTTGTTAGAACTCTAGTTGGACAGAGGTATGGTTGAACCAGTCGCTGTGCCATACTTGTCCTTGCATCCCCGACTGTTTGCACACACACTAACCTTGAGATTGTTGGTCACAGCCACGGACGTGTGCGTGCGCACGCTGACACTGCCACCGAGTGGGTGGATGCCAAACAGATGGGTGGTGCCGTGGGTGGAGGACACGGACACCCAGCGACTGTCTGGACTGTGGATGAAAATAGAACATCATAAATAAAACAGCTATAAATAGAACAACGAGTGGGTGTATGCCAAACAGATGGGTGGTGCCGTGGGTGGAGGACACGGACACCTAGCGACTGTCTGGACTGTGGGTAAAAATAGAACATCTATAAATAGAACATCACAAATAGAACATCTATATATAGAACAACTATATATGGAACAAGCAGCATTCGGTTTGCTATGGAGAAGATTATGTGTGGTGCTGTGGGCGGAATACACGGACACCCAGCGACTGTCTGTGACATAACTGACACTGACATCTCACAAACGGCACATGCAAGAAATAAACAACACACACACGACGCAATAAGCAACACATCTGAAACTGAAAATGAACAACACACACAACACACAACACACAATACACACATATACAACACACACCTGAAACTGATGTCCTGTATGATGGCGTTTGTGTGGCCGCGAGCCAGTTTGTATATGTGTCTGGCTGTGAATTGTGGTCTGTATATGGATGGGAAGTTTGGGACGAGGGGTATGGGAGATAGAACTATCAGTTTGTGCACAATGTTAGGTGCCTATACGGACATGTTATGG